AATGTACTCGTCATCACTCCATCATTTATTGCTTGGCATTCTTCTACAGCTTGTTCAGTATTCTCAAATTTTAATAAATATTCTAAACTAACTATCTCATTAATTCCTTTCTTCTCTATCTCTTTCTTAATCTTTTCTTCTTTCTCTTCACTTATTATCCCTTCTTCTTTAATTTTTATTAAAGCATATCCTGCTGGCGTCTCATGTAAGATGTACATCTTTTATTTTAGGGTTTCTTCTTCTTGTCTTTTTTTTTCTTTTTTTTTTTCTTTTTTTCTTTTTCTTTAAATTTGAAAATTGTATTTGAAGAAGATAAAAGAAGACAAATTACAAGAAGCATTACACACAGATAGATTACAAGATCGAATTTTGAGCATCTGATTGTGATGTTGTTTTTAATAGAAAGTGTATTAAACAATTTTACAAAAAGTGCAGTAGGGTGTTTGATTGAATAATATTTGATGTAACAGAAGAAATTGGAATTATTCAAATGAAATTAGAAATATCTTAAGAGTAATATCAACAGAAAATGGTTCAGTGATAGTGTTAATACTGAAAGAAATTATACATAATAATATAATGATAATAAAATACTCTTTCTTTATAAAATAAGAATAAACAAAGCCAAAACAATGATAAAACAATGAAAAAAAAAAGAAGAAATAAAACAAAAAGACATGTTTTATTCACAAAACAAGAAGAAAAACTAAATAATAAATAAAACAAAGAAATCATTCATTTTTAAAATAGCTAAGAGACTGGGTTTATATCCATTAATTAATGAATAAATGACAAATTTATCAACACTAAATTATCTAATTTTTATTTAATTACTTTATTCAATGTTTTACATTGTTATATATTACATTTTATTATTTTGTTATTTTATTACATCTCTTATTTATCATTTCTTTTTATTTCTTAATGTCACTTCTATTTTGTTATTTCTTTGTTTATTTTCATATTCAATGATTATATAAATGAATTAATTCGTGTTTGAAATGATTCAAATGATTGAATATTGTAAAATATTAATTTATTCATAATTTCAGTTCATTGATTTAATCATATTAATTATTCATTGTAATGATTTGATTCATTATTATCAAAAAATAAGATGAAAAACAAATTAATCAAATTAACATAAAGAATAAAACATAAACTACAATTAACAGAAAATGGAATGATGAAATTTAAATAATAAATGATGGGTTATTCAATTTCTATTTAATAACATATCTCTAAACCATAACATCTATTTCAATCATCAATATCTCATTAATATTAAAACATGAATATTGTTGTATTTAAATAATAGAAAAATGAATATTGTAAATCAGAGAAGAATATATCATCACAATTAAAAAGAATAAATGAAAGTATAGATAAAATACTGACTAAAACAAAACATTGATATTTACCAAGTCAAAAGAAATGATTTGAATGGTGTTATGTCAATGAATGAAATGAAGAAAGAATAAGTTATGAAGAAAAAGCAAGAAGAAAAATGGATAAAAAGAAGAAAACAAAGAAGAGAAGGTGATGAGATTAAACAAATAATTAAAAGAAATACTACAATGGCAAATAATAATAAATAATGAATTTAAATGACTAATTTAAATGAGAATGAAAAGATATTAAATTGTAATTAGAAATATAAAGAGAAAACACAGAAACAAGAACATACTACAAATTCAACAAAAGAAGATTGAAATTACATTTAAAAAGAAAATGAATATGATAAAAACACAAAATGCGGTTGTAAATGAATAAATAATATAAAACAATAAGAATATAGATAAAGAAATTTAAAAATCATATATTTGAATTGAAACATGAAAGAATAAACAAAAAATGAAGAAGAGAGTAAGCGAAAATAAAGATAATAAATAATTGAAATATAGAAATAAAAAAAGGTCAATTATTAGATATATCCACAGTTGGATTTTCTTCACATTGAGAAGTGATTATTGCAGTTTCTTCATTATGCTCTATTGGTGTAATAGAGTTCATTTCTAGCATGCTCGCATTAGATTGTTCTTCTTCTAATGTGCTGCCAGAATTCGTAATAAAACACAAAGATGTAATAAAATAAGAAAAGAAGAAATAAAAGTGTATTTTTAATGTAAAAATTAGAAATATTCAATAAAAGTGTCTAATTTAATGATGTAAAATAATTAACAATATTTTATTAATGAAAAATATTTTACTCTTTTTTATGTTTATTATTTATATGTATAACTTTATTATGATGTTTATTATATAATCAATCATATGTGTTATGTTATTATAACATATAATAAGTGATAAAATATAAATGAAAATGATATGAATATATGATATAAAATAAAGAAAAAACAAAAGAATAATAAGAATAAATGATAAATAAAACGAGAAATGATAATAAATGATATAATAATAAAATCAAAGAATAAAAGATAAAATCAATATTAATATAAAACAAAACAGAATAAATATAAAATGAAAATAGATATAAATGATAATAATATAAAATGAATAAGGTGAATAAACAAATACAACTAAATATAAAAGAATAACAATAAGAAATTTTAAAGAATATAAACATAAAAATAATAAAATAAGAAGAATATAATAATATATAGATAATAAGAATAACACAATGATATACATAATATAAACAGAGAAATAAAAAATATAAAAATACGATAGATAAATAACATATAAATAAAAGAATAAAAAGAATAAAAATAAATATGATTCATCAAATCATCTATTTCATTAATATTTCATACAAAATGAATACGATTGATAATAAATTATAAACATAAATATTTACATATTCTGTATTTATCATACTTTTTATTTTTATTTTTTTTAGGAGCAAAATATAATAAAGTGGAAAAATCTATGGATGCAAATTATTTTGCATCTTTTTTCATTTTTGTAAATTATTTAGATGCATTATTTCTTTGCTAATTTTCGTACCCAATGTGGAATATGTGAAAATGGTATTATACATAAATGTGAAAATAAAACCATAAACCCAACCTATGAAAAATCAAATAATCAATCAGATGAAAAACCAAGAAGATGAAAAGTCAATTAACCACTCTGAAGAAGGAACAAAAAGTAATTCAGAAGATAATTCAATTCATAGCATATATGAAGCATCATTAACTATTTTCTCTCTTATTGGAACGATGACTATGTTATTTATTTAAATAATTGACAGATGTTAAAATTATTCAAATGTTATGTTTAAATTTAAATAATGAAACGTTTTTAATTCATTTTTCTTTTAGTTTAAACTGTATTTATATTCTAAATCAAACATAATAATAAAGATAATAAATACCAAATAGTTAAATATATTTTACATATTACGTTTTATATAACTCATATATTCTTTTTCAATATAAAGAATAAACAAATTATTTTTTCATTACTATTGAATAATATCATTAATTCTCATAAAAAACCCAAACAAAACATAAATATTCAATCGAGGATGTGGTGATATTTGAATAATAATAATAATAAATGTATAATAAAAATAGTAAAAGAAGTACAAAGAAAAAAGGTTTAAAAAGAGAGAAAAGAAATGAGTAATAAATAAAAACAAAATGAGTAAATAGAATGATAATATGAATAACAACAATAATAAACTTAGAATGAAAACTTAGAATGAAATTAAAGTGAAAACCAAGAGAATAATAAATAAATAAAAATGAGGATATAAAGAAATATTTAAAAAAGACTAAAAAGAATAGATATATCTACAACTGGATTTCTTTTTATATTAAAAAATAATTACTTCTATATCTTCAATACATTATGTTTAAGTAATAATCTTTATTAAAAAGAAAATAAATAAAAGGTGTTAAAAGAAGAATTAATTTATTCCTTCATTTATATTGACTTAATAAAAAATTAATTTATGAAATGAATTACACTTGTAAAGACTGAAATGCTTGCAATACTACAAAAATAAAATAAAGATCAAAATAAATAACAAATGAATTAGAATAATAAGTCATCGTCATTATTTTGTTTACCAAAATCTGGTGTTGCCATTTTTCTATTTAACTCATTCCTTTGTTCAATCAAAGCAGGTTTTCTTTCTTCTAATTCTTTGATCTTTTGTTTAGAGACATTCATATCTTGAGAATATTTTTCTTCAAGGCTTTTAATTTCTTGTTCAATATGTTTTTTTCTTTTTTCTTTATCCTTTACAATTTCTAAAATATTATCATTAGGTTTAACTTTTTCATATTTTTCTCTTAATGAAAGTACTTCACGTTTGATATCTGCTTGTTTATTCATTTCCATAATTTCTTTATCAATGTCTTGTCTCTCTTTTTTTGCGTCAATTATGTCTTTAGATATTACTTCGATTTCCCTTTCTAACAGTTTCATTGCTGCTTCATTTTCTTTTCTTCTTTTGATAACCCCTTCTTGACGTCGAATAATTTCTACAACTTCTTTTTCTTTTTCTTGTGTTTCATTCATTTGATCCATAAGACTTTTTTCTTGTTGTGTTAATAATTCATAAGTGCTTTCAACTTCTTTGATTCTTTGTTGAATATCATTAATTTCTTTAACAATTACTTGGTATTTCATTTCAAGTTCTTTTTCATTTTTATCACGTTCTTCATTTGTTTTTCTTTCCCTTTCGTTTTCTATTTGACATGCACTAATAATCTCCTTTAACATAAGCATTCGTTCTATTACATTATTTAAGTTTAATAACCATTTCTTTTAAAGTACAAAGAATACAAACCTGTTGCTTTTCCTTTAGTAAAGTCGGTTGTGTTTATCATTTTAATAAGCTCCTCTGATACAGAAGGAGTTGTTCTCTTCATGAAAAATATGAATATAAATTGAGATTTCAAGTTCGTATAATAAAAAATAAATGAAAAAAATAAAAAATCTTAATCTTGTTATAATAAAAATGGAACCACCACTTATTTTGACAACATGCACCCACGAAGATGATTGTCCTCATTGCAGATTAAAACAACAGCCAAAAGGACTTCCTGATATTAAAGAAAAGCCTAAAAGAACAGCAACTAAACCAATATTTGAAACTAAAGGGTTTCCATCTCCCCAAAAGAAATATCAATCTACTAAAAAACCTGAAATTGCTTCAAAAGAAACTGTTGATTTTATTAAAATGCTTCATAAAGGTCATAGTCATTGTGAAGTTACTAAAGACACAGTATCGGTTAATGCAAGTTGGATGGGTTTTGTTGAAAGACCTAAGGTATATCCAGAGTTAACTATAAATAATATGAGATTTGGATTTGCAGGAGAAGTCCTTCCTTTTGAAGTTGATTTGGCTGCATTTAGTGGTTTATATAATCATGGAGAAGATCAATGGGCTGCTGGGTATTCATTCAATGAAATTGGTATGCTAATTCGTTCTAATGTAGTATCTCAAGTTCGGGCAATGCTCGGAATTATTGAGTCAATATGTGACAGATGCAACGGAATTTATAGAGAGATTTCATATCCACAAGACGATGGAACATATTTTAAAATAGGAGGTGAACAATTTGGAGATAAATATTATTATAAGAACATTTCAAAGGAAGATGTTTTCAGACATTTATGGCTAAACAACGATGTCTTTGCATCATTATGTGAGGTTATTCTTAACAAAGACTCTACTACTTTGTATTATGGTATAGAAGTGTTGTACAAAATGTTAATTTGTTCTCCTCCTGATTCTTTACATTTTAGAGCAGCAATGAAAAATTATTTTCTTGAAACTAAAACTGATGATGAGAAAAAAGAAGACATAATTCAAAGATATCTTAAGCTTCATATTGTAGGCAAACTAATTGAATACATGAAAATAATTCCTTCAAATATAGCTGTTAAAGCATTATGGATTACAATTGGATTTTTCAGACTAGGAAAAGACTATCAAAGTTGTATCAGTGAAGATGAAAAAAAACAACTAGTTGCTCAAATATCACAAAAAAAAAGTCCTGTTTCTCATAACATTGGTACTGATGAAACTGAAAAAGCACTTGCTCATTATATAGCAAGTGAACCAGATGTTCTTCCAATTTCTATTGATGAAACTTGGTCATTGGTTGATGAAATAAGTAAAGGGTTTATTCCAGAAAATGGAAAAATCTTATTAATAACTTCCCTAGTAAAAAATAAGTCATTAGAAATTGATAACGTATTTAGCCTTCATCAAGCAAAACCCCGTGGTGCCATTGGTTATCAATTTATGAAAGAAACTATAAAATTATTAACTTTAGAAGAATTAGAAAAAGTCTATTGTTCATGTGAATATGAGGATTTATTCTCTGCACTACTTTGTGTAAGTTATGCAGCAGAAATTATTAGAAGAAATGGAAAATTACACAAAACATTTAAGTTCAATCAATTATTTTATTCTGATGAACTACGGTTTAAACCAAAAGACCATAAACTATATCAAATATTACCTACTTGTGATTGGGAATTTGAATTCCCATATTTCCAATTAGCTCTTTGTTCAGTTTTAAGTGGAAATACCTTAAAAGAATTCCAATACCATTGGAATGAAACTGGAGCACCAACTGAAGGTATTTGTCTTTCATTACTCAAAGGTGATTTTAAACTAGTAATTAAACATCTACCAGAAATATGTATTACCTTTGGTAAAGACTGTTTTATTCTCGTGCTTAAAATGATTTTAAAAAATGCTCATTTGTCTGGTGGGCAACTTGAAGAATATTTTTTCAGTCATTTCATAAATCAATTTACTGAAGTCACTATCGGAGAATCTTTCCCACAATACCCTGATATTCTTTCAATTGGATTTTGTTCTCAAAATGATGACATTGTTTCTCAGACTTTTGAACTAGTCATAAGCCTTCTCCCAAAATATGAAGAATTTATTATCCCACATTACACATCAATTCTTAATCTTCTAAAAATGCCACAAACAATTTTTAACATTAAAATGGATTTGATTGAATCATACATTAAAACATTCTCTCAAGTCTCTCAATCTATAATATATGACCCTTTATACACCGCAAAACAAGAAATTAAAAATATCCTTGAAGAACAAAAAATGAAAGGAGCTACTAACGTTGATGCAATAGCTGATCAAAATGATATTCTTCTAATTCAACAATCAAAAGAATATCAAAACATGTTCGCTAACATTACTCTCTTCAACCAAACATCATTAAATCATCCTCTATTGAGTTTCCTTATTCTACCATTTTATCATCCTGCTCCTGAATTCTTAGAAGCACTTCAATTTTCAATTGGTTCGTTTGGAACAATATATCCATTTAACAAAACAATGTATTTAAAAACATCAGACAACTCAGAATATCTCAGACTTATTATTCAAATTTATAAAAGTGCACGTCAATGGAATGACGTAGTTGCAGCTGCTCTGAGTTATACTATCATCAAGTTATGTGAAGAAGACCAAACAAATATTAAATTCTATGAATTAACAAATACTGACATCAACAAAATGAAAAATTTGGTGAATAATATTTTCAAAAAAGCCCTATAACAAAAATTAAAAAAAAATTAAGTCAATGTATTAATAAATTGAATTGGTTTAAAAATTAATATAATATTAAAAAAAAAAAAGAAAAAAAAAAAGAAAAAAAAAGACAAGAAGAAGAAACCCTAAAATAAAAGATGTACATCTTACATGAGACGCCAGCAGGATATGCTTTAATAAAAATTAAAGAAGAAGGGATAATAAGTGAAGAGAAAGAAGAAAAGATTAAGAAAGAGATAGAGAAGAAAGGAATTAATGAGATAGTTAGTTTAGAATATTTATTAAAATTTGAGAATACTGAACAAGCTGTAGAAGAATGCCAAGCAATAAATGATGGAGTGATGACGAGTACATTACAGAAATTTTTAAAAGCAACTATTAAGAAAGAAAAAGAAGGGAAATTAATAGTTGTAGAGTCAGGATTATCACAAATGATTAAGAATAAAATTGGAATAGAAACGATATATCCTAATGGGACTATAATGATAGATAGAATGATAAGAGAAAAGATTGAAGAGATAATACCAGAAATTACACCGAAAGAGATGCATAGTATGGAATTAGGATTATCACATAATTGGTCATCATTTAAGATCAAATTTTCACCAGAGAAAATAGATACTATGATTATACAAGCTGTATCATTATTAGATGATTTAGATAAAGAAATTAATATATATTCTATGAGAGTAAGAGAATGGTATGGATGGCATTTTCCTGAATTAAGTAAATATATAAATGATCATATGGCATATTGTCAATTAGTAAATAAAATTGGGATGAGGGAAAATGCTAAGAATGTAGATATGAAAGAATATGTCGAGCCAGTAGTAGAAGAAGAAATTAAAAATGCGGCTATAGTTTCTATGGGAAGTGAAATATCAGAAGAAGATTTAGAGAATATTAAAGCACTTTGTAAACAAACCATTGAAATAGTAGAATATCGAGAAGAATTATGGGAATATTTAAGACAAAGAATGCAAGCTATAGCACCAAATTTATCCACATTATTAGGAGAATTAATAGGAGCTAGATTAATATGTCATACAGGAAGTTTAATTAATTTAGCAAAAGCACCAGGATCAACAATTCAAATTTTAGGAGCAGAAAAAGCATTATTCCGAGCGTTAAAAACAAAGAAGAAAACACCTAAATATGGATTAATATTCCATGCAGCATTAATAGGACAAGCCCCAGCAAAAGCAAAAGGACAAATCTCCAGAGTGATAGCATCTAAAGCTGCATTATGTGCACGAGTCGATGCGTTAGCTGATAATGCTGATAGTAGTATGGGAGAGAAAGGAAAAGAGATGGTAGAAGAAAGATTAAGAAAGATTGAAACAAAAGCAGGAAGTAAAAATGTTGTAGTTAATACAGGGAAATATACAAGAAAGCAAGAAGATATTATTGGGAATAAGAAAGTCTTTGAGAATAGCAAAGATTCAACACTTGGTAAAGAAGAAAAGGTTGTAGAAGAAGAGAAAGAAGAAACAACATCTAATAGTAGTAGTAGTAGTTCTGAGAGTTCAAGTAGTGAAGAAAGCAGCAGTTCCAAGAGTTCCGAAAGTTCAAGCAGTGAGTCTGAATCCGAAGAAGAAAAGAAAAGAGTTAAGAAAGGAAAAGAAGGAGGAGAGAAGAAGAAACTCTAAAGAAATTGATTGCTTTTTATTTATTTATTTATTCTTTATTTTTTTCATTCAAAATAAGAAGAATTGTATTAGAAGAAATAATAAGCAATTAATATTAAATATTAATTAAGTGTTAAAGGAATTAGCTTCTATTTTTCTTTGTTCAATGGAGATTAATTCCATCTCTGAGCTTGTTTTTATTTTAAAAAGAGTAATTTCTTTGTTTAATCTATTCTTTATGTTTTTATAGGAAGATGAGAAAATCATTTTCTTTGTTTTATTTCTTTTATATTAATATCTTCTCAAACTTTTTCTACTCATTCCTTCTTTTTAACTTTTGTTTATTTTCTGCTTTAATTTTAATGAATTTCATTTCCTTTTTATTTTATGAAAGAGAGAAGAAAGCATTTCATTCCCACTATATTACTTTGACTAATTTCTTTTAGTCTTAACCACACCTTTACTATATCATTTTCATTAATTAATCCCACCATATGTATTTCTTACCTTCTTTATTATTAAATATCAATTCTTATATTACAATATGTAATATTCAACCATAATAAATTGATGTACAATTTGCAATATTATCTAATACATTTCATATTCAAAGATACCGTCATAACCAAATAATAACATAGAGAGAGTTAAAACAACAATTATATTATGGTTTATGTTGTGTTTCAGATGTGATACATTCAGTCTCAAGAAGAATAACATAAAAACAAATCAATTATGATTAACCTTATTTTTAGGTTTTTCATCATGTTGAGAAGTGAGTGAATCACTTTCTTCAACATGTTTTATTTCTATTGAAATATTGTTTTTGCAAGCATGTTCGACTTAAATGATTCCTCATTTAAGTTGTTATCTGAGATTTATTTTGATTTTAATGAGTAATATAATATTTCTCATTCTTTATATGGCTGTTTTAAGGATAGGATATCCATAATCTAATGATTATGACTCATCTCCTTTATCTTCCACATCCCTTAAACAAACACTATTCCTTGATAATATTCTTATATCCAAATGTACATACAACAGTAACAATAATATATGCATCTTCTTTAATAAATTATAATTCTTAATGCATAATAATTCTTCTTAATAAATAATAATCCTTATAAATAATCATTCATAATATTATTACATAATAACTACTCATAATAAATATTAATAAATAATAACCAGTTAGTTTTGAATAGATATTATCACACCAAATGCACGTCATGACCAGATGAAAACTGAGATATTCGAAGCATGTGAATATTTTATAGTTTCATTCAGTGCTTCTGACATGCCATTTTTGAATGTATTCAGAAATACACAAAAATAATAAACAAATAAATAACAAGAAAAAAGAATGAATCATTGTTGTATTTTCAAATTAACTAATAATAAATATTAATAAAGTAATGAAATGAATAATAATGAAAATAATTCATTTTAAATAAAATGAAATAAAAATAATGATAAATAGTTAATATTTCATTGAATAAAATATTGTTTAACATTCATATTTATTACATAAATTAATTATTTCATTTATTATTCATTCTATTTAAATTATTGTTTATTTAAAATATAAAATATCATATTTTATATTAAATTATTGAAAATAAATTTAAATAAAAATTCATTTAATTTATTTACTATTTTTAATATTTCATCAAATTGTATTGTAGAAATACAATCATATCGTCTTTCTAAGGATGTTCAATCATTATACATATTTATTATCTTTTTAATTATTTCTTCTTTATGATGAATAGTTCTGATAAAATATTTTCTAGTTTCTTCTTAGTCAATAAATTCAATATCTTCTTTTACAAACACAAATATTTTTGGTAATTTAGTATTTTATTTATTTATTTATTTCATTTCTTATTGTTGTTAATTTTTTATGAAGAATGATTTATTTAGTCTCAGTTATTTCAACTTCTCATTTATTATAACTAATTTCTTCTATGTATTTCATTCTTTTATTTCATTGTAATTTCTTTATTTTTATTTATTTTGTTATTCTTTTCTTGTTTAATGTTTCTATCTTTTTTTATCTTTTTCTTCAGTAATATTATGATAAAGAGTGTCTCTTTTTCATTTATTCTACAATAATTGATGTTAATAGTATTGTCATTGTCATCATCATTACAATTCCATTTTAGCTTTTTGTATTATAATAACAATATAAACATTTTGACTGGCAACGAAAAAAAGCAAATAATTGAAAAAGAAGAGAATGATATAAAAGAATAAAAAGAAAGTAAGAAGTTTGATATGATGAAGAAAGAATAAAAGTAGAAAGGAGAGAATATAAAAAGAAAGAAGATAAAGTGTAATAAAAGAAAAGAGATGATAAAAGAAGAAAAGAATGAAAAAAATAAAGGATGCAAATTTTATTTCAACAAATAAAAAAGTGCAAAATTTAATGATGCAAAAATTAATGATGCAAAATATTTAGCAACATTTTTATTGATGCAAAATATTTTGAAATAAAAATAAATCATCATTTGATATTATTATTATATTTGATAATAAATTATATTATATATTAAATACATCATATTTCTTTATTATTTATCTTTCTTTTCTTTTTATTATTTCATATATTAAATTATTATTCATTCATTTATTATTTATATTTCATTTATTAAATAAAATGAAAATGAAATTGTAAAATATCAATTAAATATTCATGAATAATTTATTAATATTTAATAATTGAAATAATAAATAATAATGTAACAATAATGATATATTCAATATATTCTTTATTTGATTTGTTCAATATTAGATTATTCTATTTCATTATCATTTCATTGTCTTCATTATTTTATTTCATTTATTATTTCATATTCATTTATTATTTTTTTAAAATCAAATAAACAATAATATTGATATTCATTCATCATATTCATTTAATATAATAAATATACACAACATTTCAGAAGAAAGAATGAATAATTAAGAATGAAAATATTGATTTATTCAATATTTTGTTCAACATAAAATCAATAAAACATATAATTTGATAATACACAAATGAAATAATAAAGAAATATACAATACTCAAGAATTAATAAAAAAGAAATAAAAAGAATGAATAAATGAATATAAAATTGATAAATAATACAAGAAACAAATAGAAACAAAAAAGAAAAACAAATAATATAAAAAGAATATAAATATATAAAAGAATAAAAATAAAGTATAATAAAGAATATAAAAATAATAAAACACAAAGATGTAATAAAATAAGAAAAGAAGAAATAAAAGTGTATTTTTAATGTAAAAATTAGAAATATTCAATAAAAGTGTCTAATTTAATGATGTAAAATAATTAACAATATTTTATTAATGAAAAATATTTTACTCTTTTTTA